ACCGAGAAGGCCAAAGCCATGCCGGGGTGTGGCGCCTCTGCTGCTGTGCTTGCATTTTTACTATTTACTATTTGCATTACTGTCTCTCCAGCCTTGAACATCATTCATCACTTCTTTGCCTTCTCATTGGGTGCTTCCCCCAGAAGACCTCCCGAGGTCCGGCCCGGCCTGTCCTCCTCTCGGGGCCCCCTTGTCCCAGCGCACACGCCCATCAGGGCCCCCGTGTGTGCCCCCAGCTCAGCGCCCGCCCCTCGGCTCCACGACATCCCTGCATGTGGGAGCCACCTCTTTATAAAGAAGCCCCCTAACGCTGAATTAATCCCCGTCTTCGCTGGATTCCTGAGAAACTTACAGGGAAGGTGTATTCTTCGCGTGGGCACGTCTTCACACCTCTCTCCCCCCAACGATGGTCATCCCCCCAAACTCCGCCCCCTCACTCCCACCTGGAGCCTCCCTCCCCTACGGGCGCCACCACCTACGTCTGGCCCACCACCCAGTCCCTGAGGCTCCGCTGCAAGGCCCAGGCCTTGGGGCGGCAAAGGCAGAGTGGAAGGAAGCTGAGAACGCCAGGGCTTGGGCTCCACCCCTCCCCACGCCGCAGGGATGGGTGCTCCATGGGATGGGTGTCACCATAGACAGGGGAGGCCTGGAGTGGGGCAGGTGGGGCACCTCGCAAGTCCAGCGAGAACACTTCCATTCAAAGTCTTGGCAAGACAATTATGTTTCAGTCTGATCTCAACATTAAATTACAGGTTTACAAAATTGCCATTAGATAAACTTAAGTGTATAAGATGATTAAATAGGAAAAAGACAAAAACAAAAAAACGAAAGAACATTCACGTGAGTGTTCTAAGTTTGGTTCATGGTGGGACATGGAGTCAAGACAACCTGAGATTCTCAAGACTCCCAGTCGGGTCCTCCCACCTCCGCTGCGGGTCGGGAGGAAGAGGAGCAGGTAACGGTTCTGATCCTCTGGGGCTGCAGTCTGAGGTTCAGGTCAGGCCAACAAGAGGGCTATTTAAGTGCAGGGACTCTGAGCAGAGGGTCAGGAAGTGAAGTATGAATGGAATTGTGTGCTTCCTCTAAGGTCAAGGCAGAAAGTATCAAGGTGAGTGTGTTTCTGGAGACGTGCGCCCTTGGCCACGTCGATCCTGGAGGAGAATCCTCAAGCTCGAGGGATGAGATTTATTCTCAGTCGGCGAGGAGAGTGCCAGTGGGGCCTCGTCCCTACGCAGGACCTGTAGCAACTGTGTGACAGTGAGCTGTCTCGATGCCCTCGTCCCGTTGCTTTTATTAAAGTAAATTTTTTTAAGTAGGAGTTGGCAAACTTTTTTTTTCAGTTTAAGTACTGTCGGTTTACAATATTGTGTTAACTGCTGTTTTCACCGTGGTGGTTTTTAAGTGAAACCCAGACACATAAATGTTTTCTTCGGTGCCTTTTCTGGGGTGCATGCTCAGGTCACCCCCGGAACGGTCGTCCGGGCTTCACTAGCCCCAGCCCCTCAGGCGGACGCGACTCGTGCCCTTCGGAAAACGCTTCCAATGACTTCTGTGTCACTACCTCTGTCCTGTTTCCACGTAACTTTCTGGACAACAATTTTAATGTCTATTAAGGAAACACCCGATTAGGCAGAGGGGGAGGGACGTACGTGGGTGAGCCCCCAAAGACAAATAGCGAGCAGGCCGGCGGCCACAGCGGCGGGGCTGGGGGGCTGTTCCCATTCCAAGGCCTGGGCCCTGGGGGGAGTGGGGCTGCCTCCGAGTGTGCTCGTGTCTGGGCAGGGACAGGGGTACGGGGGTGAAGGGTAGGGTGCCCCGGGTACTCCAGCTCTCTCCTTGGACTTTGGCCTGGGGGTGCCACACTGAACTCCACCCCGACCCTCCCAGGGGAGAGAGATACCCCCGGTCCCTTGCTCCCACTGCGGTGAAGCCCCCTGCCTTGGGCTGCGGTGTGGGCGGCTCCCAGGGCCTGGCCCCCACAGTGGAGACCCAGGGATGGATCACTCTGCAGACAGATGTGCCATTGGCTCCGGCTCTGCTGGGGGAGTACGGATTCGGCAATTCGGCAGTCCGAGAGGAAGCTCCTTATGGCCAGCCCACTTGTCAGTTTTATGTGATACGATGTGGTGTTTTTGTCAGTCACTCCACAGAGAGGGACCGTGACCTCTGCAGTCCTCATGGCCTCTTCTCTACAGGACCCTGCAGGCCAGCGCAGGCAGGGCCTGCCCCCCCTGCCGGGGCCGTAGCTGCCCAGCTCTGTCTCCCCACGGTCTCAGCCAGGAGTCCAGGGTGTGTGTGTGTGTTGTGTGCAGTGGGTGCCGGGGCCTGTGCTCAGGGAGCAGGGCCCCAAACAGATGCACAGGACCCCTCCAGGTGGCCCAGCGGGGGCTGGGCAGCTGGCGCTTCTGCAGCCCCTGCCCTTCTGCTGGGCCTGGGAGCAGGAGTGGGCGTGGGAACAGAGAGGTCACAGGCCACCACAGCCCTGCCAGAGACCCGCACTCTGCAGAGCCTGGTTTGGGAGCTGGGCAGGGTCTGTGTGGCTGTCATCAAGGGCAGCTGCATCGGGCAGACCCTGGTATCAGTTGTCCCCCAGGAGACATGTTTCTGGTGGCTCAGGGTGGTGACCTGTGAATTGCAGCTCCCCGGCTGGAAGTCCTAAACCTGGTAGCCACCCCAAATCCCCACTGATGCCCACAGACACGGTCCCGAGGCCAGCTGGTGGGAGGGGGCTTCCTGTCGCTCCTCAGCTGTGTCTGCGCCGTCTCTCTGCCTTCCCGGACCAGAACCCAGCCAGATTCTCCTTCTGGGCGGCAGACCGTGGCCCTTCTGGGATTTGCGCTCCATCCTTGCCTGCACGCACAGGTACTGCGTCCCTCACCTTGCCCAGCTGCGTGCACTCGGCTCTGGGGCTGGACAGCTGCATGTGGAATTCACGTTACTGGGGGACAGTAACCCACTCAGGGCAGTATGAAGGACGGCGGTGACGTCATGTCTGGGGAGAGGGAGGAATTCCACCTGGGAAGGCTCTGCAAAGCTGGTGGTGAGTAGCACTGAGCCTGGACAGCAGGCATGGCCACGGGACCCGGGAGGCCTGACCTAGAGGAGAGGAGGCGGCCTGGAGAGCCATCTCTCGCCGCCTCTACCCTTGGGGGGCAGGACCTACAGACACGGGCACACACAGGGCCTGGGGCCGACCTCGCCTGCTCTCCCAGGCCTGCGTCTGTTAACTCTCTCAACCACATGCGGGCTGGTTGTTTCTAGAAAGTTCTACAACCGTGTATGGCATGAGACGTCTCCCACCCTTTCTTGTCCCCTCTCAAGCGAATGGACAGTTACTCCTGCAGCCCGTTCCAGCTCTCAGGCCGCTCCTCACGCTGCCAAGGAGAGGAAAGAAGAGATGGAGGCCAGGGCTGCGGGGACGACTTTATTGTTCCTGGAGGGGAGCGGTGTACACAGCCACACTGCAGTCACTGAGCTTGTTAAAAAACATCTCAATAAATAAAACAAATAAGCAACATATACACTGAAACAGAAAATATTTTTTAAAAACGGTTAGCTGAGCAAACTACGAGAAAGAAAGAGAGGGGAGGCGTGGGAAGGCTTCCAGGCTTACTGGGAACAGCCATGCAGAGGCTGGGGGCGGGCAGGCAGGGCGAGGTTCTTTTTCTGAGAGCCTTGGTCCAGTTTAAACAGAATTGTACAGGAATGCGTTTCTGTTTTATTTAAAAAAATACATACATTTAAAAAGGCACTTAGAGGGAGATACAAACCCCAAATCCACATCCTTGTAAATGTGCTCCTGAATTCAGCGATTTTTCAGAAAGAATAAATCCCCTCCCCTTCAAAAAAATATAAAAATAAAACCCAGGCCTGGGTCTGTTACCACTCTCAAAAAGTGGCAAGGATGCCAACGAACACGTCACCAGTGAGAAGGACCGTGCGTGCCACCGCCTCTGTGGGGACCGTCGCTGGGGGAGGAGGCTGTGCAGTGCCGGGTCTGCCACCGTCCCCTTGTCTGAGCGCTCGGCTGGGGAGCTGGCAGGGTGTCCGGGAGGCTGTGGAGGTTCCAGAAGTTACAGGCTTGGATGCACCCCCATTCCACTTGCTCCTCAGCCCTGCGGACGGTCTGGAAGACAAGGCAGAGACGTGAGACGCCGCAGCTCCCTCGGTGTCCTGGGGGCAGGCGGCCTCGCTCATCGAGGGGTCCCCAGGCTGGACGGGACGGGGTCAGCAGACCGCAGGCACTGCTCTGACACCTTCCCCCTCGCTGCCCGCCCGGGCAGAAGCTGGGCAGGCGACCAGTCGGGTACGCCGGGCACCTGCAGGCCGCTGTCCCCAGGCAAGCAGCTCCCACCCCTCCTGCCTCCACCCTCCCCTGCTGCTCCAGCCCTCGAGGGCTGGGCCTCCTGCCTCCTGGGCCCGCTGGCCGATGGAGCTGACCCTCTGGGTGACCCGGGGGCCGGACCCTGGCAGGGGAAGGGGTGTCGGGCTGAGGCGGCTGCTGGGGCTTCTGGGCAGCGGTGAGAGCGCCGCTGCCTGCGGGGGTGGGGGGCGCGGAGAAGCGGGCGGAGCCGTCAAGGGAAGGGTTGTTTTCTGAACCTGTGCTTTTGAAATCATTACAGAGTCACAAAAAGCTGCACAAT